TCCCTCGTGCGTTAATCATGATTAATTCGGCTTATCAGCTTGCTAGACGCTGGTCTTACGAGATCTAAGCTCGAAAGATCGGTAAACTTGACGAGAATTGGATACGTATTGCAACGATCACGCTAACCGGACCGTATTCCGTATTTATGACAAAGTGTGTGAAACCCGGAAATGTTTCCAAAGAAACGCACCGTTTGTTGCACGTGCCATGAGGATGCTACAACAGAAATGTTAAATGATACTCGAAAAATTAATAAAAATTTATGAAGGAAATAAAGTGTTGAGTATGCCGAGACGGAGAAGCTACACTGAGAAAAATGATCTGGATTATATGGTAATTCTGGTGGTAATTGAACAGATCAGAATTTTCTAGTTAAATTTATTAGAATTTTAATTGAGATAAATGGAATTTTATTTGATACAATATTTCTGATAAAATATACTTATATAAATATTTTTAGCCAGAAATTTTTGTCAAATTTTTGTATTACAGAAAGACCATCAAAACGTGTGATAGAAAAAGAAAAAAAAGTAGTTCTTGAAAACATGGGTTGGCGCTCTGATGAATCAGAATTGCTTTTTGTAATTTTTTAAAAATTATTTAAAATTGAATATAATTGAAATATTCTTATTCAAAAATTAAAAGTTAAATTGTGTATAATCTATGAGTAAAAGCTGGATGTCAATTGTTAAAATGATATTTAATATTTAAAACAAGGATAAGATTGTAACACAAACATTTCAACCTTTATTAAATCATCCTCAGTGTAATAAGTAATATATAATAAGTTAATATATAATAAGTTAATAATAAAAAAGTTTGCAATTCGGTTAACAATATAATTTAAATAATATAAAAAGAGTTACAAAATAGTGATTCGAAATTTTGTAATGTGTGAGGGTGACCTAATAAAGGTTGAAACGTTTGTCTATGTTATTTTCTTATCCATGTTTTAAATATTAAATATCATTTTAGCAATTGACAGCTTTTACTCGTAGCCTATATACAATTTAATTTTTTATATTTAATTTTGTTTAATTTGTCGTTTCTCATCTTAAACGCATATTAAATATGACATTAAAATATATTGATTTTAAACTAATTAATTGTTAAATTAGTTAATAAATTTTTATAGCAATTAATAACCTTTTTGTATTTTTGTATTTTATAATTAATAATCTTTTTTTGTATTTTCATCTTTGTCGCGCTATATGCAAACACTATTGTGACTTTGCAAGTCAAAATATTTCTTTACATTTAACGTAATAATAATAATAATTATTTACATTTATATACAAAAAAAATCTCTGTATTATCGCGACACCGATCTGCCCGCAGACACGTTATTAAAATAAGTTTCCGTTTTCTACTTGATTTTTGAAAAATATCTTCAAACTCTATATAATTATGAAGTTATTTCTAATTCTGGGTATGTTTTATTTAAAAAAAATTGTTAACGATATAATTTATAAATTTATAATTTATATTAATTTTACAATATAAATATCATAAATTATGCCTAGAATTCTTATGTTTGCATATGTTTATGTGAAATAGAAATAATTGTAAAGATACAACGAATAAGAAATGGCAAAATTGAATCATCATAGACCCGGTATACATAATAACTGTATTTATAGTGACTAGATAATTTTATAATTTTATAATTTATGCTTTATCTGTGGAAATCTTTGTTTTTCTACTAATCGCATTAATAATATTTTTATCATATTGACACTCCATTATTACTTTAAATTATACATTTTTTTCTTTTATCGTTTTGACATACTAAAGATGGCCCAGTTTTGACCAAAATCATCTATAATTATCTTTATGTACATTTAAATATAACTATTC